CAATTCACCAAGGGTCGATTGACATCACCAGGCCTAGAGACAAAGATGACAGAGTCAGTGTCATCATACAAGACACGTTCTTGCAACATGTCCAATACACTGTACAGTTTTAGTCTTGCATAACAGTTGGTAAAAGTGGCACTGAAATTGGCACTGAAATTGGGCTACATTGTCATTGAGAATATGAAAATCGTGTAGGTTGTTTTTGGGATCTGTCAAAAATTGATAAATTTCCTCTAGTTTAGATGCAAATACAAATTTTGTCTGTCTCATATTGGGTCTTTGAGCATGTTTACCCCAGAATGAATTCAACATTAGTTTTGACAGGGCTCTCAAACCAGGGTTTTTCTCAATGTTGTCATAGTCTAACTGAATGCCTTCATTGTTCAAATAATTGTCAACGTATTGTTGTTTATTCGCTTCTGACTGACACCATGCAGGCCAACCTGAAGATCCTTGCTTGATTTTCAAGAAGGTGTTGATGTAACTGGCAAACAGACCACCCGATTGGTCGTTTTGTCATACTGGGTCGTTTATGCCCAATGATGAACTTCATACACCTTTCGAACTTCATAGCCTTTCTCGAGAGCTTTGATTAACTCTGGAATGCACCATGTTCCAATGAAACCACGTTCTACATCAGTGTGCTGACATGGTGTTTGTTGCTCTGAATTAGCACAAGTTTGACACAATGCAAATTTGAGTTTCCCATTCGATCTAAATGGCAAGACTGGATGATACAGTCCACGTGGGGGTAAGATCTTGACTTTGGAAATGCCAAAGTACTGCTCTAGAGATTTGAAATCTCTGGTAATGATTTGAGGGTGCCCAACGGGATACTGACCATACTTGTTGACCCATGGGTACAAGGATGTAAAATCCATGTACAAAATGTCTTCCTTCTCTTCAGTTTCATAAAACAACTTGGAAGCATTAGTCCGACCACCGAAAAATGAATCTCTGGGATCTAATCGTTCCTGGAGATCTATGGTGGCCACATAGGTTTTCAATTCAGGTTTGGTTTTCAGTTGTTGCTTGAACTCATGTTCCCAGAGGGTCACTAACTTGTAAACCTCCTGCTTGATGGTTGCATTTCTCTTCATGGTTAAGGCATACAACTCACTGACAGACTGCTTGATGTGAGGCAGTACTGTTTTGTCCCGGTCATGAGGATAGCATGTAGGACAACCATGATAGAGACACCCGTCAAACTGGTAGATAATGTTGCTGTCACGACAGTACCCATCCACCTTATACTTGGTCCCTGGGATCTGATATTCACCTTCATTCAACGCATGTTGAATGTGCTTGTGTTGGGAGTGGATCAACCATTCCAGTCATTGTATGGAAATCAGACTGTATTGGTCTTTGGTGTATCCATCTCCAGGGACCTTGGCAATGGGACTGGGAAGGGTTTCTTTCTCATGAACCACACACTCTGCTTCTTGTACTACTTGAAGGTTTAGCCAGGACCCGGGTTTGACTTCCACCCAGTGTTGATTTTCATGCTCTTTGATGGGGAGCCATGGAGTGACTGCTCCTTGCCAAAGTAGTTTGACATGAGTGTATGCTGTCAAGAACTTGTGTTTGAATACCCCATGACACACACTGGCAATGGTAATGTAATCTGTCGGATCAATGCCAGGTTCTTTCTTTTGAGTGGTTTGCTGAGGTTTAGGGTCCTTGACAAGATATGTCTTTGTTGTAACAGACAATAATAATTGTCGGAAAGTCATGAGAGCTTCCCTCAAGATTTGGACGTCTGACTGACAATAGTGTTCCATTTGTAGAGCAAAGTCAAAGATATTGTCCTTTTGTTTGGCATACAAAGTTAGGAAGTGACTTCTGTCTTGTGTAGACATGCTGTTGATCCCATAGAATGAAGCATGAGGATAAGGTCCCACATACTGTTGGTTGGCAGAGGTGTTGAAGTAGTGAGAGAAATAGCCTTTCTTCAACTCTTCCAGATTAAACATCTCGGGAAGCTTTGCCAGTTTAGTATTGAAGAAAGACAAACTGTCCAACAGTCGAATGTTCAAACCCCGGGGAATATGCATATACATGAGTTTAGACCCATTCTACACCATGTTGTCAGGGAGGATACTATTCTCTATCAGATGGTCCAACAGGAAATAGCCATCATAACCCTTGAAATTGTGGGCAAACACCGAAAGGTTTTTGTGAGCTTTTGTGAAAAGCCATTTACAGAATAATGTAGCTGTGTATGAGCCTTTGAACCTGACTTCTCGATGACCACAAGTGTCTGGACATGGAGGCATCTTGAAACAATTGAATTTCTTATGCCATTTGTTGCATACATCACAACGATCACCATAAGAAAAACATCTGGCTTTAGGTGCAGAATGGGTGATTTTTACAAATGTCACAGACAGACTGAGCTATGACATAGTTAGGTTTATGTTCTTGGCGCCCACACCAAGATTGATGACAGTTGTCACACATGGTATAATGTGTACAATCCTCTTCTTCAGGTCCACATGCGGAACAAGGGGAAGGTAGATAACCTTCTGCACAAGTAGACACTTCATCTTGGGAACATTCAAAGTCAAACATGATGAATTTCTTGACTTGGGGTTTGTCATCCACAGGTTATGGCTCGTGATAGCAATTATGATCCATGGGCACCCCCTTACCACAAGGTTGGCACATGTAAGTGTCACAATCAAGTTGACCATCTTTGTTTTGCCAAATGTTCAGGACTTTAAAACACTCAGGGCAACGCCAGTAGGCCTGACACTCTGAGGGGAGATCCCCATTCTTGGATTTTTTAGGCTTCTTATGAGCAACAAAGCATGCTTTAGATCGGCACTGCATGTGACAATCAGGACAGATTCTTGCAGTGTCGTTGGTCTGACACGATTTCCTCTTACAGACCCTACAGTAATTGTCACACGTATGTTTTTCTTTACTTTGGAAGGGGGTCAGACAATGGTGACAAAAATGACTTTGGCTGAAAAAGCCAGAAATGTTGGGCATAGCATGAAAATGGTTGTCATTGACCAAGTATACAAACAACTGCTTTCTGTCATCTTTAACCTCTTTGGTGATAAATTTATTTCCCAGTGATGCATTGATCACTAATATGTGACAACCCCAAACAGCCTCCAATTTAGGTATATCTGTCACACTTGCCATTCTTTCTTTACACAGTCCTATCACAGAGGAGATTGGCAAAGAGAGTTTGATGTTTACTTTTTGGAATCTTTCATGTTTTTGTATAGTGTGGGTGGACATTTCTTGTGTTCTAAAGCGAGATGTGTCATATGTGTATTCTTCCAACTGGGGGGAGATGTTGACAGAAACCGACACTGACACTGATCTAAAGGATGAGAATTGATGAGATCCTGCCATTCAGCCTTAGATACTTGATGAGCTTTAGCAAAACACACAGAGAGAGCTCTTGCCATACATGGGTGATCTGCATTGTTGATTTCTACAATACTATGTTTTAGTTTAACACTTTCTTGAACATTTGTGATGTTATGATTTATTCCTCCTTTAGGCATATCAATCATACCTACATCGATATCAAAGGAATCGTCCAAGGTCAAATGGTGGTGACTTTTCATCACATTTTCCACATGTCTCAGGATGACATCTGCATTCAAATTTTCCAATGGTCTCAGTGGGACCACAATTGGATTTTCTAACTTGTCATGGTGTAATACGACACGTCCTAAATCAGAATCTTGTAACTGCCCTCTAGCTTGACTGAGCACATCATCAAACATGTCATGCAGCCGACCGTAAAGGTCAGCTAAATTTTGACCTCTCCATTGATCATTAAATCTCACTTTATACACGTTTTCAACCGCTGCATGTTTAGCAAATGTACGTTGTTTCCTTAGACTAAACTCATAGGGACGACTGTCATCTTCACCTAGTGCGACTTGATCAAACATGGTATCATCAAAGTCAAAATCTAAATAGTCCTTATTGATGTGTAAATCCTGTGTGAAAAGACTGTCCAGTCGAGGTTGTTTACTAGATGGGCCAGGAATGGGGGGAATTTGAACGTTTTCTACTAGGGGAGTGAGTCACTATATCTGTGACATCTGTATCAGGCATACTGGGACAATCCGCTTCCAAATTTATATTTTGACACAGTTCTTCAAATTGCAAAGTGACCAAACGCTGTTGAACGATGGGTAGGTGTTTTACATTATAGTAATTTGCAAACTGGAGCAACTCATCTACAGTTTTTATATGGGGGAGGCACTGGTTTAAGATTTCTTGTTCCATTCTGTGGAAAAAAACACACTTGATAATACAGTATGAAAAGTCTCACAAAAAGAGACGGTGGTAGCCATGAGACATTTATATCGTTCTCAGTTGCAACCAAATAAACTGTTATAAAACATATTCTAACGTCATTATTACCAGCAAATAACTATAGACGCCTAAGCTCTTACCAAGGTCGATGTAGGCCTTGGCTGGAGGTGTATTTATGTAATCTACATTATTACCAGCTACATTTACAGGGTTTAGAATCACAAAATGTCAATCATTCTAATCAAAATGCTTTTTTTCAGCTACATCCCAAAGCAGATACTCAAAACATGACTTCTCGAACATTCGTGTAACCTTGCTTTCATATCATGAAAGAGGCATGCCGAAATAGGTTGGGAAGCGCAGGTACAATCTCCATGACGAGAACGCACATTTCAAAACTGACACGGCCTATAGTTTGGCATGAAATGCATCTGGACCCGTTTTTTTGTAAATATCTCTTCATCCAAAGACCCAATCGATCTCAAACTGTGCAAGTGGATGCTTTGTCAGACAACTTAATCACATTGTAAATCACCGATTTTATGCATTTGTATTAAAGAATCTGTCTATGTAACTGTCAATAAAATAAACAGCAGAACGCAGAATGCTTGCAGAGGGAGGGAGCCAACGACCTGTAACAGCGGCAGTGTTGGGTCATAAAGGTCATCGTTCGTCAATGTAGGTCAGCTATGCACGTGACAGGTATGACGAGGTGTCACAGGTCGTGAATAGAGTAAGGTGGGTGCCAACTGATAACCATCATACGGAGTTCGTTCTCTGAATTCATGCCAAACTATAGCTACTGTTGATTCTAACGAGCATATAACGTTTTGTTTGTATGTTTTAAAATACATCAAGTATTGTCTGATCATGATGCATTCATTCAAAGCAAAATCATACTATTTTAATTTGAGAGTAGGAAGTAATTGACAATTCCATCCTATCAGGTTGTTGACACTCGCGAAAACACACTCGATCACGCTCGAGAAATGTTGCCAGGCTAACAGTCGACAAACGCTTTTCCCCCCGCCACAGTATAGTGCCACTCACGCAATGTGGGTCAACAATGTCTAACGGCTGGGAGCAGTAAGCGGGAGACCGCCACTAGCTTTGCTCCAAGCTAAAGGTTAAACCCGTTGGTGTATAGTAATTCTATCCTTTAAAGGTCACATGCAACGTAAAACACAACTTTGCAGATTCTGATACCTTTCGGTATGGACTTACCGAGACAAAGCGTCAAAAATGCAAATTCAACTTATAAAGTTGAAAAATAACGCGATGAAAAAAAACGCGCGAAATCGGAGTTCAAACGTTTCACTAATTTTCCCCAGACTTTTCTGGGGAATACGGGTTTCAGCAGCTGGCTGCGCTCATAGCACGTGCGCAGTGAAATAGGTTCGCGCAACTTGGAAGCGGGCTGTCTGGTGAATACTCTGTGAAGACTTTGGTGTGAGCTAGTTTCATAATGTTTTGTTGATATCTCACAGGCGCGAGCTTTTTGTATGTTATGACAGTAAATAAACTGTTTATATAATTTCTTTTGTCTATTTCACCACACGTTCTTCTTACCGAGTCACTTTCTCAGTTCGATACTTAAAAGCATTATTTAGAGTTGACACGATTTCTAACTGTGATATAGATATGTCGCTGTCTGAGACAAAACTCAATGTCTTGTTTTATTGACACCAGTGTGTCTGCCTGCCTGTCTGTTAATGACAATATTCAATACACAACTGCGATCACTGACCACATGCAATTTGAACTTAACACCAATCAGGCTATACACCATAAACAAAACGCATTGATTTATGGCCCGAGTTCGGTCTCTGTCACATTATGTAATTACACAGACAGGCAGGTGGGATACTTGAACACATGACATGTTATGATGTCTGTTGATTGCAAAATGTTATACACAAAAAATGAGCATGTATTTACAAAACCCAACTTTCTATATACACACACACACTGACCCGTGAAGGCGGCATCTGCTAATGAACCAGCCGTTACACTTGAGTGCACACCCACCCGCTCTGACTGGGTTCGGTATCCCGGCTGCTTCGTTTCGAGGGCGGTAAACCCAAGTACAAAATATTGCACTTTTGATTTGCGATTATACGCTTATAATTTTGTTTATTTGTTTTTTCATAATCAGCAATGCATATAATATGTCATGAAGAAGTGATAATTGTGTTTTAATTATGTTTGATTTTTTGGTTGCATGTGACCTTTAAATACACTAGTTCAAGATAAGCGCAGGCAGTCTACTCCAGTACTTCAGAGGAGTATATATATATTTTTAATAGAAATTATCGTTTAAAGGATCCATTATTAGCATAGAGACTTGTGCAAGTCTACCCTAACCAGACTGAAATTCCATTTTGTGTGAGTAGTGTCAGGGACGTGTGGGGAATAGCCATCGATGTTTGTTTTGTGATACAGAACTCTTATACGAACTGATGGTTGATTTCAAACAATCACAAACATATGGGATTTTTCACTACCATCAGTGGTCCAGTCAGTCCGATAGTTGTTCTACGCTGATTGGTCTAAATTAATGGGGTGATGTCATGGTGTGATGCTGTGGTGTGTTTCCCACGGGGCGCGCGGTCATTGACCCCTCAGTCAGGGTGAGTCACACCGGAGTGAGTTTGCTGTATGCTGATTGGTCCATACTGATGGCGTGATGTCATGACGTGATGCTATGATGTGTTTCCCACGGGTCGCACCGTCATTGACCCCTCAGTCAGGGTGAGTCACACCGGAGTGAGTTTGCTGTATGCTGATTGGTCCATACTGATGGCGTGATGTCATGGTGTGATGCTATTATGTGTTTCCCATGGGGACGCACGGTCATTGACCCCTCAGTCAGGGTGAGTCTCACCGGAGTGAGTTTGCTGTATGCTGATTGGTCCAAAATAGTGGCGTGATGTCATGGTGTGATGCTATGATGTGACGCCGGATACCACGGTCATTGACACCCCTTTGAAATGAGGTCAGCCAGGTGTTCGATGATGACGTCATTTTCGTCTATTCCAGCCCCTATACAACATTTGCTGTATGTCGACGCACGTTGTAATATTAAAGCTGCACGACTTGGAAATAAACAAGTCTGACCCACACAAGCTAAAGATTGAGGTTCAACGAGGGCATGCTCCTTTTGTTGTAATCTCTGTCAGTATGTTGGCAAATGGAGTGAGTGAATGAATATAGTATGACGCCGCTTTTAGCAATATTCCGGCAATATCACGGCCGGTGACACTAGAAATGGGTTTCACACATTTAAACCATGTGCGGAGTCGAACCCGGGCCTTCGGCGTGACGAGCAAACACTTTAACCACTAGACTACCCCACCGCGCCTGGCAAATAGAGACTTAACCAACACTTGTATGTTGGACATGCATGTTGTTACCTTTTCCGTTCCAATTTATTTTAACCTCGAAATGCATAACTTGAAAAACATGGTGTTAGAGGTTAAGATGAACTATTCAGTGGATTCAATACTGAGGTTCAGATTCACCTGCATGTTTATGTCACAACCCCAAGTGTACAGTACACAACGCTGTGCACTTAAAAGAACCCACGAATCCGTTGGTATATGACCAGATGGTGGCCACATGAATACGTGCAAACACCTAGTTACGGGTACAGCAACGTGCAGTGAAGTTGGACAAAGTGCTGTGACTATGTGTCCCAGTCCACCCAGCTGTGAATGGGTACCTCGTTAGGATGAGAAAGCCACAATAAGTCGGTGCGCCTAGTGGCAGCAAGAGTTGTATTCTCCCAAGGGAGTTGAGATTGCAAATACGATGTGCAGTTGATATTGACATCCAATGATCGAGGGAAAAAATACCAGCGCCTTGAGCATGCACTAGTGCGTGGATATGTGCGCTATATAAATATCCTATAATAATAATAATAAAAAATAATAATTGTAAGTGAATATGTAAAACTGCATGCAAATGCGCACAGTGTAATGCAACCTCATTATGATTGAAACAGCTGCAATCACAAACTGGATCGGATACAAATACCACTGCACCTTAGTTTTGAATCAACTGTTGCAAATATGGCTTCGAAAAGAGACCTGACCGATCGTAGTGGAGAAAGTATGATTGTCAACTGCTACAAAGGATGCTATTTCTACCGGGGAGGATTTCCCATACCGTTTGACGAGCACATGAAACGGGTTGAGGACATGGAGCTGCGATCTGATGATGTTGTGCTTTGCAGTTATCCTAAATCAGGTATTTGAACGTCTACATCTGAATCAGGCGCTTCCTTGAGTACTCTGCTACTCGCTGTATCCATCAAGTGGTTTTTTTTGTTAATCCCTAATGGATGTATGTAAATCTGTTCTGTGCTGTTGTCGCAAGAGGGCGCTACATTGATTTCTAGAGTACTCTGCTACTTATTGTACCCATCATGCTGTTTTTGTTAATACCTAATAGATGTGTATAAATCCGTTCTCTTCAGTTCTACTTCACTCTTGCTTGACAACGGTATAGGAATACATGCAGACACGATGCATCAAAATAGAATATATACTATTACAAAAAGTAAGGGATACCATTGTGTAGTGATATCATTTGGTACTTAAGTTGTATGACTGTGTATGGATTAAGGAAATGATTATTCCATTTACAAAGTGTTAGTAAAAATATATCTATGACTAAATGAGAGAGTGAGTGAGTTTGCTTTTTGCCACTTTTAGCAATAGGCCAGCAATATAACGATGGGAGCCACCAGAAATGGGCTTCACACATTGTACCCATGTACCCGGGTACCCATTGTACCCGGTCTTCGGCGTGACGAGCATACGCTTTAACCACTAGGCTACCCCACTGCCCCTAATGTGTTACGAAACCGTGCCAAAATGCCAGAATGGGATCGTTTGATTAGGACTATGCCTTGTCGAACCGGAACTTTTCACAAAGTCGGGGAATCGAACCCAGGTATATTGAACAAACGCTTAACCACAGTTCTTTCACAAGAACCACTTTTTCCTGGCTCCTTTTAAAGCAGATACTATTATATTTTACCAGCCCTACTTCCAGAATATTAATTGGTCCCTAAACTATTTCATACCTTTTCCAGGAACACACTGGCTGTGGGAGGTGATAAGCATGATAGTACATGAAGATCTCGAATACAGAGAGAAAGTGCGTGGTATGGACATGCTGGACTTCTCACCAATGAGTCTTCTGGACTCCATCAAATCTCCCAGGGTGCTCGGCTGTCATTTCCGTTTCCAGTTTCTCCCCAAAGAGGTTTTAACGAAGAAGTCTAAAGTTATATACGTTCTCCGTGACCCCAAAGCTGTTGCAGTTTCCTTCTACAATATGGAATTTGGTATGAAAACAGTAAGGAGCTATGATGGACATGTTCCTGTCAAAGAGTATAATGGCAAGTGGGAGGACTATCTGGAATTGTTCCTCAATGGCGACGGTAATTTCCAAACCAACAGTTGGCGACTGACTACCTGTGATAAGATCTCCTTGATGGTGTAATAGATAGAACGTAATGCCAAAACACGTTGGAAAAGATGGTACTTGTTATCCCCTGGGGTTCCGCATGTATTCGATAAAACAAGGACTGACTGACGAGGAGTCAGGGGCTTGTGTCTTAGTATATGTATCCATATTAACAACAGAAATATATCTCAGTGGGCTACAATTATAAAACCGACAATAGTCAAACACGCACACCCACACGCAAACGCATACGCACACACGCAAACAAACACGCACACGTCGCTACAAATGTACAGTAATCTTATAAGTGACGTTAACCCTTATGTCAGGTAATCTCTTTTGTACTGTTTTGTCTTGGGAATTGTAGCATCATATGGTCTCTTTGTCACGTTGCGTTCAGGGACTGTAAGTAATTATTAAGACCAACTCACTTACTCAGCCAGACATATTTCACTATTTCTCTGTTACAGTGGAGTATGGATCTTGGTTCGACCACACTCTGGGGTGGCAACAAGCAATAGAAGATAATCCCGATCTGGAAATATTCCTGTTGAAATATGAAGACATGAAACATGTGAGTTGCCCAATGTCCAATGTCAAATGTAATGTGTCATACTTGGGCTTACGCTTTGTCATAAAAAGGCCTTGTTTGTTCATTGTTCCAAACTTAACACCTGATAAGTAACAAAATCAATATTCACTGCAGTCATTTGAAACACTTAACATCTGAATTAAATATTCAACATTGGTTCCCCGATGTCGTTAAAGTGTTTGATCGGCATTCTTGAAGGTCTTCCACTTGAATATCTTAGTGGGATACTCATTGCGGCTGACAAAGTTTACAAAGCTGAAATCCTATCCACCAAGGGTACGACATACCATCGGCCTGAGAAAACTTAATCAATCTATAGACTATTAAAAAGAGCCCAATCATCTTCTTTATACTATTTAATCCCTCCTGTATTTTAGCTTCATGACCCGTGTTGTTTGGTCTTCTTACTCCCCACCTGGGCTCGTCCAATTGTGTGCCACTCGTAATCAATTACATGGTGTTGTTAATGTTAATCTGTTGTTTGTCATAACATACTATGTATATATACTTCTCATCACTTGGCTGGAGTCCCCTTTAGCTTGGTAACGAATCTACACCGAAACGTCGTTCCATGCACTAAACAAGCTGTATGCTTCATTATTGATGTAAATGCCAACTAAAGTGTTATGGGGTTTTATGAATAAGAATACAATTTCACTCACATACCTCATTATTCAGTGAGTGAGTTTTACGCCGCACTCAGCAATATTCCAGCTACATGGCGGTACCTCATTATTGAACATTCATTAAACTGTTTGATTGGCATTAGAGAAATTGAAAGACATGAAACATGTGAGTTGCCCAAAGTCAAATGTAATATGTGTCATACTTGGGCTTACACTTTCTCATGAAAAGGCCTTGTGTAGTCATTGTTCCCAACCGAAAACCTGATAAGTAACAATATCAATATTCACTATAGTGGTTTGGAACACTTAACATATGAATAAAAATATATTTTAAAATCAATTAAAAAATGAACAATACTAGGTTACCCATGATGTCGTATAATTTTTTCATCTAGAATTAATAATGAAGCATGCACCCTTCTTGTTTGTTGCATAGAGCGACGTTTCGGTTTAGATTCGTTCTACATTTGTTTAAAGAACAAATAAACTTTTGTTTTTTGTACTCTTCTAACCATTACATATGAAAGACGTGTGGTGAGTCTTAAGCGGATAACCAAATTCGTTCTTAAAAACTTGTGGTTAATTAATACCGAGCGATTAAACGTGGCCAAAAAGTCGGATGATTCACTCTCGCCCGCGAAACCACAGAGAGGTTACGTAACTCTGTCGCCAGAGCACTGCAGCGAACCGGAAGTGACGTCATGTGAGGAAGGATTTTCAGTAAGTTGCATATAAAGTGTGTAACAAGCTCGTCATTTTGCTGATATCTTGACGTCAACGAAGACATGCCGAATCGTTGCGTTGCCGTCAATTTCTCCTAGGGGTCGGGTGATGGTATCACCATGCACTGATTTCGACCGGACCCCCTAGTTCGTGCCAAATGGGTTATGCTTGTGAGTGCGAAGCGAGCATTGTGGAAGCCTTGAACGATATCTTACTTGTGTTCAGATCGCTTCACGGAAGTTAAAGAATCAAAACTACTTACTAGTAGTAGTAAAATATATATATGATTGATGACCATAAAGATTTTCCATGACACAACTTGTAACATAACGATTTCTTCCTCGGAAGCGAGGTTGTGGTCGAAGTGACAATAATATTCTAAGTAGTATTATATTGACACCCACCTCGCTTCCACGAGAGAAATTGTTATGACACAACTTATAACATACCGATTTCTTCCACGGAAGCTAGGCTGTGGTCCAAGTGACAATACTGCGCGATAAATGTCTTGCTACATTCACGTGGTTAACGTCCACTTACCAGTATGTAGATACTAGTCAATGTATGTCTTTTTATTTGGTCTGATAATCCTAATTAGTTTATTATCATACATGTATGCATTTTGAAACTTAATAAAAAGCAGGCGGTCTGCTGATACTTATAGTGAATTTATAACAGAACTGTCATAGCTAGACATTTTATAGTTTGCCCTAGTGTATGTTGTCTGTCTCATTACACTTCACGGCGAAAACTGTGATTCTGTTGAATGCTATGACAAATGAATAAAAACAAAATGCAAATATTCAAATTAAAACAGATTAAAGTTATAGGAACAGTGTCAGGCTATTACCTTGTTCGAGGAATGTATCCATCAATATCCACAAAAACGAGTGATATGCCATTCATCTGCAGCTGTTCCAGGTGATGTATCTTTTAGCAGTCTAATATGCGAAAAAGTGATATATCGTTTCAGGTTTTTCACATTGGTGTATAGTCTAATTGGTCACTCAAGATAGCACACATGGCAACTAATTGCATAATGTCCGCCATTCTTTAAAAAAAAAGTAATTTAGTTAGCCAATGATGAGCAATCAATCAATGTATTGGCGGTCAATCCTTTGAAAGAAGGACTTCCTTTTTACACAGACACAGACACGACAGAGTGTATTCAGTATAGATTAGTAAATCTACATACATAAATACTACCTTTTGACAAATCCGCTGTGCAAGATAAAAGTTATTAATCTTTTCAGCGTGTTATCTATTAATCCTTTGATCGATGTTTATAATGTTGAGTATTTACTCCAGACACAAGAAATGCCAAATGGGAACCTTCGTCGGGTAGTGTAAGTGGTGTTACCAATAATTATACCTGTTATAAATTCATTAACTGACCATCAAGTGAATTATGACAAATAACATGACATTGTGTAGGTTTATACCACCTAACACGGGTTACAACAAGGGAGTATCAATTGTTGTATTGCATGCAATTTTAATTGATTAAATATCGAGGTAACAAACACAGAAATGGATCTATTTGGATCAGCCATTATACCATCCAGGCATTAGAAAACCTGAAAAAGCCCACACTGCTTTGATACTTTATTACAATCAGACAAGAACTACCGGGGATATTTTCAAATAACTTAATCTGATGGGCATCCACCCTTCCTAATGTCGCACTGTTTAGGTTGAAGAAATTAACCGTAACCGTGATGAGCGAGGCTGATCATCGTTTTCACTATCACTAGCGTCTGGCTCGAACAAATAAGGCCTATCGACAAAGCGATTTTGACAGAATCGTCTATGAAAACAAGCTGTAAGTCGGAAACCAGGCAAAGCAGGAGACAAAATTAAATGACAGTAGATTGTGAGAACATATAGCTTTCATTTTTCACAACAATTGTCACGATTTCAGGTTTATACAAACCTGTAAACAAGATAATTTACCCCCTGAAATGTACATGAATTCTACATCGTCCCTCATATCTATTCCTCACAATACGTAAGGGAGACGCGCCGCTCTAAATGGTGGAAATTTCGTTCGCGGGTGAGAATTGTGCACTGTTGTTAAAAAGGTCGATTTAAGTTAAGTAAAGATCGAATGAGTAGTTTTAATGACGGGGTGTCATTTATAACGATGCCAATTTGTGATTTAGGTATCTGTAGAGTATATGTCATCTTTAAATAGTAAAACCAGGCTGATAGGGTGCTAATTGAAAGTCTCTAGTATGATTAACTCTTCATAAGCCGATAGTGTCTAGTACCTTTGGTCTCTGTTGATCAGAAGTTTGCGGCAGCGGATTTCGATAGCCTCCAAGAGTTATCTTTCCCAAAGTCCTAATTCTGGTGGATGGGACTACAACTTTGATTGCATGCATTATTGTTGTAGATATTATTGATTTTCTTAAAAACAACTAAAATGTCATTGATCCTTGAAAGGTCACTGGGTCTCGATCCACAAAACGTTCGAAACGTTACGACCTGTCGTTACCTCATAGGCTTACAAATGCCGTAGAATAAGAATACAATTTACCTAACAAAACGTTCATCAAACTGTTTGATTGGGATTTGAGAACCATGTGAGTCATTATCTTACCTCCATGTAAAATACTTTAATTTCATTGGTCAATGACGGTTTAAGTTTGGGAGGGTGACAACTGAAAAAATATTACCCGCTGCCACAGTAACCGCCAAACTCTCCGCCGAGACGCTGAAGCGCTAACAATCGTATGACGTCATAATATGACGCATGCAGTGCCCGGAGTTCGAAAACCGTTCGGTCACTTTGTACATATTTATTTTACAGACTTTCACTCCTTTATTTAAGCTATTTTATACATTGAGTGGTTTGCACACTCAGCTTAAAACATAATTAACAGTTTTATAGCAGTTTTATGCTTGTCAGATATGTTTCACTGATGTTAAATATCCAGTCGAGAGGCAGACGCCATTTTGTTGCATGTCATATAGTCGGTAGCGATCTTTAACATAAAATAAAATGATATTTTGTACATTTAACATGCCGGTAAGATAAATACGTTGTATGCTTCTCCCTCGGGTAATACGGTCTGATGTACGCCTCTTTGTAGCAGTGTCATCCCTCGCCTACCGGCTCGGGTGACACTGCTACAAAGAGGCGTACGTACCGGCTCGGGTGACACTGCTACAAAGAGGCGTACATCAGACCGTATTACCCTCGAGAGAAGCATACAACTTATATTATTGCATTATGCCAAATCATATTGTCTATCAATATTCAACACAGATAAAAGTATTCAAAATCTGTTCTTACCTTTAACTTGTTTTGCAGGATCCTGTTTCATCGATACAAAAACTAAGCAAATATTTAGATAAACCATGTAATGTGGAGAGAGCGCAGGCGATTGCGGACGCCTGCAGCTTTTCCAACATCAAGAAAGTCAGTTCAGGAACCAAGGCTGATGGCGTTGGATGGAAGGAAGGGGGATATGTTCAGGAAGGGTGAGAGTGATGTGGTTTGGCACGCCCATAGTTATGTTAGCCTTGACGAGGACAGCTTTCTTGAACTCTGAAGATGCTCCAGAGAGAAGTATATTTCCAAATGATGCGAGTTAAAGGAACATTGCAAGACCCGGGTTATCGAGCTTGTTAATTGTCGTCTTCTACAGACGTTGTGGATTGTTGCTCATAATGTCAGTCCTTTGTTTCTTTTGGGGGTTTCTGTTGTCCCGGCTTGATGTTTTACAGAACAACGCCCTATCCCTGAAATATTATCCATAATGAGCATATCAAAACAGTTTTGGGAGGGTCCTTGCTTTATCAAGTTTACAAATGTCAAAGATGTATACAATGTCATATTGACGTTTAGCCAGTCGAGTGAGTGAAGCTTTGTGTTATGCTCTCTATTTTTTAGAAATTGAACAAAACATCGACAGCGTAACTCATTATGATACGCTTTCGTCTAAACATCTATCTGATTTCTGTAAAGCTGTTTCGGAAGCCTTATAGACACAAATGCTCTACTCTAAACTCCAAATAGCTATTGCATTTAATTACATATTTCAAACGAAGGGTTCAATTCTGCACATAGACGTTGATCGGTTTTACAGGGCAAACCAACAACTGGAAGGAGTGGTTCACGGTGGCTCAAAACGAGAGGTTTGAAGACGTCCTAAAGACAAAAATGAACAGAAGCGATGTTTCTAAATAAGAAACATACACAAGGATATGGCACTATCGTGGAGTGTTAACAGCGCCACATGTATGTCCATGTACATGTACAGTGCCACCAGAAATTATTGAGAATTTAAAGATTGTAATTGTTTTTGTTTTCTTCACTCATTACTCACGTATTAAATGTGACTATTAGCAGAACATAAATCCAGATTCAAAGACAGGTGAACAGTTAGTATTTTGTCAAGTCACCATGGGCAGCAATGCAGGCTTCAATCAGACATGGGGTAATTGTAATTTGTAATTGTAATTGAATGTAATTAATTACAAAATCTATGTAATTGCATGTAATTTGTAATTGAATGTTTAAAATGTAATTTGTAATTGTAATTTATTTAATTTAAATCTCAATGTAATTGAATTTTTCAATTACTTTTTCAATTACATCAAATTACATCTCACTTTTTATTTTGGTGGTCATCAGGCAACCCTTGCAATTATATTCTGTACAATAAGGAGGACTAAGGAGTGTTTTTCAGTAAGATGCTTGTTGTCGGTATATACTCTAGCAGGTGTTAAGTTTTGAAAGAGATTTGAATGTCTAAGCCTTTGTAACTATCACCATCTGCATATTTGTGAAACAAAGGGAATCAGTAACGCTGACTGGATGTAGGTTGGTATTTGAGGAATTGGGGATTAACAGTACTATTAGTCAAGTTCCTATCAAAATGGTCTCTTTGTTTATTTCTCATAGGATATGATATTCAAAATCTTACTGAACTGTAGTCCTATTTTTATAATCATGAAAGGTAATAAGCCATAAATCCAAGTTGACAAATCCTTTAGTATGTTAATGTGGATTATGTCAGATAGAGAGACCGGCTGATTATATATTGTAATGTAGGCCTGTAATGATGTCATGATACAGTACACCTAAGGTAACAGTGGTGGACAAAGTTTTTTGCAACAAAGAGATGATAGAGGTGTGTATTTGATAATAAGCCCAAAGAAATATGCAAAATACAAATTTGATTAAATAGTGTACATTGTAGATATAATCTAACTTTGCATTTCACTTTTTGATGACAAAAATATGAATTGGATTTAGTGACCACTGTTTACCAACATCGATATCTTGTTGATTAAAGGAATACAGAAATATATTTGTTTTGTTTTTGTTTTTGTCTTTTAACAAAGTAATTTGTAAATGTAATTAATTACATTGGTAATGTAATTGTAATTTAATTAATTACATTTTAATTTAAGTTGTAATTGTATTTGTAATTGTAATTGAGGAAAATCAAAGTAATTGTAATTTAATTAATTACATTTCAAAGTAATTGAACCCATGTCTGGCTTCAATGCGGCGGAGCATACTACTGATCAAAAAGTTAGAAAGTCGTGGACCATGCTGTTCCAATATCGGACCACCTCTTCTTTCCTTTCAGCGATATTTGTCAGATTTGTCTTATTGACACTTTCCTTCATAAATCCCCAAACATTTTCTATTGGATTTAGGTCAGGGCTATAGCTTGGCAAATCTAATATTTTGGGTCCGAAACCAGGCCTGTGAATGCTTTGAACGATGTTTTGGGTCGTTGTCCTGCTGGAAAATCCAAAAAATTCCATAGAACACGTGAGAAGATGGAAGTAAATGTCCCTCGAGAATATCTGTGTACCGCTCACTGTTCATATTCCCTTTAAATACACAGAGGGGCGTTTTCCCTAACACAGATATGCCACCCCACACGTTAAATTTCGAACTCTACTTTGGGCGCTGATACAAAGGTTTTTCAGTTTGTTTGGTCGAGAATTTCAGTGTATTAGGAAACAGCCACACATAACTTTCATCTGAGAAAATCACATTGTCCCAGTTAAAATTTCTATGCTGTAAGCACCAGTTCAACCTTCGCTCCTTTTGTTCAGGTTTCATGATCGGTGATGGAATTCCTCGACTTTTCTGCCAACCCTTTGCATGTAGCTCAGTTCTAATTGTCTCCTTACAGACAGCCACAGTTCCTCTATCAATCATATCCAGCCTTAAGTTTTCTAAACTCCTTCGTTTGTTTTTTAGAAACAAAAATACCAAGCCGCCTCCTGTCACCGACAGTCAATTTTCTGGGCCTACCTGCGCCTCCCTGGTACTCAATGCCATATCCATTTGCAATATTTTTCAAAACACGATAAACAGTGGTCAAAGGGATGCCTGTTGCCTACTTGAAATCACTTAAGCTGATCTGATGTCCTTGTTATAATACTCTAAAATCAACTTCCTCTTCTCTATATCACCCATACTGAGGATCAGGGGCGGTGGGGTAGCCTAATGGTTAAAGCGTTGGCTCGTCACGCCAAAGACCCGGGTTCGAATCCCCACATGGGCACAATGTGTGAAGCCCATTTCTGGTGTCCCCCGCCGTGATTTTGCTGGAATATTGCTAAAAGCGGCGTAAAACCAAACTCAGTCAGGCAGTCAGTACTGAGGATCACTGAAAATGTCGTCTGCTAGCAAGTAAACAAAGGGGGATAACTCTTCACAAACTAATGAAAAAAGGATTAACGGAGTTGTCTCTCTTGAATGAAACCAATGACTTGATAGCTGGCCAAGGTTGTTTATACTAGAAATCCAATTAAACATGTTCCTAAAATTCTCATTAATTTCTGGTCATACTATATAATCAGCATTAGAACAGTGATTGCAAACAGGATGAGTTTATGGGTTCAGTTTCTATCTTCCTTTTCACACATTATGACTTGGGTTACAAGGAGGAAAATTGACCAGTGGTACGTGTTGATTCCCATGCTCAAACAAATAGTTACATAAAAGACAATATAACATAAAGGCAAACAATATAGCAATAAAATATTGATTATAATTTTAACCGATCTGCTGCAATGGTCAAGCTTCCAAAATAGGCCTAGGATGAGAATCTAGGGTCAGATATGATCTTCACACAGCTTTTGGCTATGTTTTTCAATGCGTTTCTTTACGGTTCGTTTCACTTGCAAAACATATTTGCATTCTGTTTGTGGATAGTAATATACAAATATACAAATATTCTAGAAATGTTTTGAGCTCTCTATACAATCTGTACCTGAATCTGGAAATCAACGTTCAATTCTTTAAATAAATTCTTTAAATACAGGCTTATTTAATAGTATCTCCTAAAAAAACCTTAAAAGAACTCTCTCATAACAGTTATACACCATATGCTTCTTGCATAATGCTATTGTCAGTTTTCAGTGGTGGTTAAAGAACACTGTATCTGTCCATAGTCATTAAATACGGAACACTCCGAACATATACGGAATACGTGTTCTTCATTTCCTTTTGAGTGGTATGTACGACCATCATAAATGGCAGAAGACTTATTTAATTGCCGCTGTATTCTATCATCAGTCATATCGATGGGAGACGACTTCAACATCTGCAATTAAACAAATTGTAAAGCATTTTGATTCTTTTATGCAATGTCACAAATGGCATCCCTCGACGGATGACGTCGTCAACTTTGTTACCTGTTACAAATAGGTGGACATTCAAAGACGGGCGTAATCATGTACACATGAGCAGGTGGACATAAACGGATGGAAATGAAAAGGTGGGCGTAAACAAATGGGAATGAAAAGGTTGGCGTAAACAGTGAGTGAATGAGTTTGGCTTTACCAAATATTGCCTTTAGCAATATGCCACCAATATCACGGCGGGGAAAACCAGAAGTTGGCTTCACATATTGTGCCCATGTCGGGAATCGAACCCGGGTCTGCAGCGTGACGAGCGAACGCTTCAACCGCTAGGCTACCCCACCGCCCCAGATGGGAATGAAAAGATGGACATTATCAGATGGGAATGAAAAGATGGTCGTAAACAATATGGGAATGAAAAGGTGGGCGGCGTAAACATATGGGAATGAAAAGGTGGGCGGTGTAAACAGTTTGGAATGAAAAGATGGACGTAAACGGATGGGCGTGAAAAGGTGGGCGCAAACAGATGGGAATGAAAAGATGGCCGTAAACGGATGGGCGTGAAACGGTTGGCGTGTATAGATGGGAATGAAAAGTTTGGCGCAAACAGATGGAAATGAAAAGATTGATGTAAACAGATGGGAATGAAAAGATGGGCGTAAACGGATGAGCGTTCAAAGGTGGGCGCAAACAGATGGGAATGAAAAGATGGGCGTAAACACATGGGCGTTAAAAGGTGGGCGCAAACATAGGATGTGCAAAGGAGGGCGTGTATAGATGGGAATGAAAAGATGGGCGTAAACAGATGGGAATGAAAAGATGGACGTAAACAAATGGGAATGAAAAGGTGGGCGTAAACAGATGGGAATGAAAAGGTGGGCGTAAACAAATGGGAATGAAAAGGTGGGCGTAAACAGATGGGAATGAAAAGGTGGGCGTAAACGGAAGGAAATGAAAAGATTGATGTAAACAGATGGGAATGAAAAGATCAACGAAAAAAGATGGGATTGAAAAGTTCAACGAAAAAAGATAGGAACGAAAAAAAGATGGACGTAAACAGATGGGCGTAAACATTTGGAAATGAAAAGATGAGCCTGCAGTTGTCAACTCGATACACCAACGGAAAATAAGAGCAGGGAGTGAGCTTTGTTGCAGTGACTGCAAAATGTATCCACAGATGGCGGCAAAATACACTATCTGAGATGTAGCATTGTGATAAGTACTGCGAACACCTGTTTCTCCAAATATACACAGTGGCTGTCCATGCAACACTTACTGCACCTTTTATTATATATATATGTATATATGTCCTGGTTGTACATGTCACAGTTCGAAATATTCAGTGTCATTAAAGTAGAGTGTACTAGTTCACCTGAGTGAAATATCAAATTTAAAACTTATGTGAAACGCATTTATTGTTTAAAGGACTATATCCAACAACAAAATATATATAGTAGACTTAACACAATTTGTCACTCCCCTTGTTTGCATGGTCACGTCCAAAATCTTAGTTAAATACTTACTCATGGGGCGGTGGGTAGTCTCATGGTTAAAGGGTCACGGGTTCGATTCCCACATGAGCAGAATGTGTGATGCCCATGATATTGCTGGAATATTACTAAAAGTGACGTAGAACCGTACGTGCCATATAATATTAATGATAAGTCACTGTACACGCTAAGGGAGAATGCCACTGGGATAATGACTTACATGTAGACGTGTCACGTCCCTACGGGTATGTATGAGCTAAACTCATTGTCCAAATAGTTTTAGTTGTAATTGTGATATTCTAGTTGTTTTACTGTCCTTCGTCGACAGGTTTTTATAATATACATATATTCTCTCTCTCTCTCTCTCTCTCTCTCTCTCTCTCTCTCTCTCTCTCTCTCTCTCTCTCTCTCTCTCTCTCTCTCTCTCTCTCTCTCTCTCTCTCTCTCTCTCTCGGACTCTCTCTCGGACTCACACACACACACACGCACCGGACACTCGGACACGGACAATCAATGCTGTAATTATAAACCCAGACTGTCTGGTCCGGACTCGATTATTTACAGACCGCCGTCATACAGCTGGAATATTGCAGAGTGCGGCGTAAAACTAAATTCATTCACTCACTATTATGACAACACGAGCTCTATGGATGAACAACTTCTTTATTATGACAACTGACAAGCTTTATGGATGAACAACTACATTATTCATAATGCGCTTTATCCGTATATTCCTCTCCAACTTCTAAACAATGCCACTCAAAGAAGACATTTTCAATCCTGGGCTACGTTTCACAAATCAATCGTAGCGCTAAGATTATCGTAACTCCCATACTGTAACATAGGCTTACGACAGTCGTAGCGCTACGATCGCTTTGTGGAACGGGCTCCTGGGGGATAAACATTCAATCAGTTGAAATGTGAAGCAGCTTCTAATTTATTGTCAAAGTTGTTGCTTGATCAGCATTACACTGAAGGCCTCAGTAAGCCTTACTGAAAGTGTCTTTCACAAAATGTATTTTCATACATGTATTATCAAAATATAAACAAATCAGCTATGGAAATGGTTTTGTCGCTTCTTTATTTTGGCAAATGAAATGTATAAGAAAATCATCTTGGCACAAGGCATTGGAGTTAGTGTTTAACCGGAACAATACATATCTGACCCCTTCCGTTACAGTGCTGGCGACACATGAGTCGCGCTGAGGCCAGTCTCGGACTAACACATGTACAAACTTCAGCGCACTAAATCCATGGGTATAGACTAAGGAAGTAATTCAAGTAAATGGCTATACAACAACTACGTGCAACCACAGTCATGAAAGTAACTGATTGTTTGAGGCCATATAAGTAATCAAAGTGATTGGTTGTTTGAGGCCATATAAGTAATCATAAGTGATTGGTTGTAATTGATTGGTTGCCATACGACAACTACCTGTATCCAGACGACAGATCGAATCATGGCCAGACAAAGACCATGACGCCTCTTGTATTACTGGATAGTGCGTTAACTCCATTCTCTCAAATGCTGAGAGGTGGCCATTTTCCTTGCAAACACCTTGTCAAAGTGAACATTTTGAGCAGTAGTAAACCATTTCTTCCACTCTTGTGTCTCTCCTAAAACAGAAAGTGTCAGTATATAACGTTACTAACTGAAGATATGAGCAATTATTATTTACACGCTTGTGTTTCAGAGAGTCCGTGTTATACAACTAGAATGGCCATTTCTGTCACATGATATCTCCGTGGGGAAGTCCACTGCTACTTATACTTACGAGGTCACTTCAGCTTGATTGGAATTATTGCTGATAAGCTTCACTGTATTGTTAAGTGATGTAATATAAGTGATGTAATATAGGTTGTTCATTGGTCTCTCTCGGGCCCTCGGGTTGATGTACCCTCGATGCTTATTTATGTTCCACTCGCCCTTCGGGCTCAGGGAGCATAAACAAACATCGAGGATACATCAGCCCATGTGCCCCTCGAGACCGGTGAACAACTTATATTACATCACTCCCTGTCGGATGCGATCATCCCCCCACATCCCTAAAACCGTATGTACACATTCAGTTCTTGGATATAATAGAACTCAAAAGGGGTGATGCATGCATGCATGCATGCGTGTGTGTGTGTGTGGGTGTGGGGGGTGGTGTGTGGGTGGCTGCGTGCGTGCATGCGTGCGTGCGTGCGTGTGTGCGTGTGTGCGTGCGCGTGTATTGTATGTATGAATGATGGGTGGGTGGGCGGATAGATGGGACCTGATCCTACTACTCCGGGCCAATTTTCACCAATACCTTTTCTGTACGTTCCATATCCTTCTTTCCATGTCATGTCCATACATCTAGTTTCATCATCAGCGTCACGAGTCTTTAGATGTTGGAAGTTGCAGGCGTCTGAAATCGACATGGCCTGCTGTCGTGTCATTTCTTTTCCAAGAAATTTTGCAACTTTCAGTACAGTAAGGACTGGGTTCTGAAATACCAAATGGAATTGTCAAATAATTTGACAACTATACACTATAAAATTCTATGCAGAAAACATTCCTTAATAATCTGCAGAAAACACATTACAATATTCCGTGAAAAAACCTTGCTACAATACTTTGTGCAGAAAACACACTACACTATTCTGTGAAAAAACCTTGCTACAATACTTTGTGCAGAAAACACACTACACTTTTCTGTGCAGAAAACACTCTACACTATTCTGTGCGGAAAATACTGGTAATCGTATCATTGTTCATTTAAATGTTGGACGCTTTGTATCGTAACAACATTCAGCTCATTTCATTAGTGTTTAGTGATTGCCTTCAAACATAACCTGTTTCATCTCTTCAAACGTTAGGTCTAAGACTTGCAACTCCGGGTGCTTTGTCCTCTCAGTCTCCCAGTCCAGCAGGTAGTCAAAGTAGGAGCCATACGGGACTGCAGATGTAATGCATATGTCATCTTGAAAGAGTTGTTCAAGTTACAACGAATCTACATTATGTGGAAAGAACGCCCAAGCTGATGAAGTTCTTAACAACAGCCATTGGATCTGTCAAACAAAGAATCACTATCAGTAGGTAAGTGAGTGGATGAGCGGTGGGCTAGTGAGCGAGTTATTCGGCAGTGTTATACGTTGTACAATGTGTGTTCCACCTGTATGCATTGTACCTGTGGAGTCAGTGAGCAACATTGGTGTGTTATATTTAGACTTGTCCTATATTTAGACAGTGTGCTGTAATGTACCCGCCTACCCTTGTCTGATGCAGAGAACATAATGGAAATTTCAAAAGTTTCCCTTGTTTATATACGGGGAACTCGGTCCGTTTCTGGGATTGTAAAAATGTCAGCACATCCATGAGTTTTTGAGTATCCATATGGTCTACTTTCGCTTGTCTCAAATACTTTCTGTGAATATCCAGAAAGTCCCCCCTTGATAGTATTAAGTAATTATGGTTAATCTTCGAGACAGTGATTTGGGGGTACATTTACTGGACCCAACAACATATCTCACTTTGTACGGATTTTTATGTAGCTTTGGAATCCAGTACAAAAGAGTAACGGACATGTCTTCAGGTTTGAAAGTCAAGCCAAACAGTGATAGCAACGTTGAATGGCTCAGGCAGATCTCTTCCTCAGTTAACATACTGGCCTTATATGTGGCATTGACCGCCTCCGTGGGGTAGTGAGTTAGAGCGTCCACCCGGAGAGCGGAAGGTCGCGGGTTCGATCCCCGGCCGCGTCATACCAAAAGATGTTAAAATATGGTACTTGTTGGTCCCTGCTTGGCGCTCGGCATTAATTACAACAAGGACTGGTCGGCTCGGAGTCAGTATAATGTGTCTGAGTGGGGCTGCACGTCGTCATATAAGGAAATATTCTCCAGCACGACGTTAAACCCAATTTCACCCCTCACCTATATGTGCATTCTGTCACGTGTATCAAACTCAAAAATCAATTTATGTAGTGATGTTTACATATAATGATTATGTTATTTGAGGCCTTATCAGTGGGAATAACTACAAACTTTTTCATGCAGGGCAGACAGACCTTGTGATTGTGTGCCATTATTGGTATTTGACATTGTACTATATGCCTGTGGCCTCTTCAGAACATGCCATTGAATAAAGAGATATGAATTAGATACATGATTCCAGATTCATACCTTCCCCGTCCAGAAACAGTTGAAGATAGTCTTCCCATTTCCCATCATAGTCCTGGACCGTCACTAACCCTGCTTCACAGCCTTCTATGGATCTCATGCCCTTTGTCGTGTAGTAGTAGGACACGGCCACTGACTTGGGGTTTCTTCTGAGCAGAATGATTTTGGTTCTGTTTGTACAGACTTGGCGTGGAAGATATCGGAGATGTAGGTGGAGCTCATCACCCTGGGAGAGGTCAGACTGTCAAGGTAACGGGTGGATCTGAACTCGGGTTGGTTAAGTCTTTCCAGGTGGTTCCGGTACACCAAATCGTCATGGGCCACCATGCTGACAACTTCCCATATCCAGTGCGTACCTGCAGGTGTATCAGTCAGTGTTGAGCTAACACAGTGTATAGGTTTACAGCTTTTTCGTGCATCATAAACTATAACAGTCCTGAAATGACACATTTGACGATTATGGCCCTTTTTCAAGCATTGTTGATTCGAGTATTCCTGTATTCATGCATGCATTAATATACAATGAGTGATTGTGTGAGTGAGTGTGGTTTTACACCGGTTTGGGCAGTGTTCCTATATTCATGCATGCATTAATATATACAATGAGTAGGGTATTTAAGGGTTGAAAACTGAATTGTTACTTTCGTTACACTTAAGAAGTTAAAATCCATAAAGCCTTGCCTTCATAACATTGTGTTTTAACAAAATTGTTATGCATGTATTACCATGTTGGACTTGGTAATACATGTAGTTGCTATTGTTTGGCACTCAGACTGGCAAATCTTATGACTATTTTAGTCATTTTAGTCAGAGGCAAAAGGTATTATCTTGCCTCACACATAAATGTCGTTTTCTGATTGGCTGAGCGCTCTTCTGTTTGTTTCTATGTACCCCGCTTACAAACGAGTAACATTTTCTATTACTCCACTGGGAATCCTGAACTCATTAGGTACTTCGTAGAAGTACTTTTTTATCTCGAATAACATCGAATCACGTATAATGTACGGAGACTACCGATGTTTTGCGAATTCAAATCGATGGAAGGGAGAGAACTCTAATCCGATACCCGTGCTTCAAACAGTTCAAAATTACTAATAGGACCCATGTCCCCTCGAGACCAGTGAACAACTTATGCTGTGACCTCAACTTCAA